ATCTGATTGGACGATAGAAAAATGGGCGTGTCTGGACGGCCACATCTGATTGGACGATAGAAAAAAAAGGCTGAACGATAGAAAAAAAAAGGCTGAACGATAAAATGCCGTAACCATAGACACATGATGTCTAAAAACAAGGCGTTATTGGCAGATTGTGTTAACCACAGGCATATTATGTCTATGGTGTTAACCGGTTCGACATTAGCGGCGTCTCGGTTCGACATCGCTCCAGTATACTGCCGCGGCGTCTCCATAACTTCTTTTTTCGACTCTCTTAACACAGAACTTCCGGTTACATTTCAAAATAAGAGCAACATAACTGGGTAGTGGGGAGAGCTAAATGTTAGGGTTTTTTTTAATACCTAGCCATAACATTAAAAAACAAATTCCATTTTGGTTGTTGAAAAATGTGAACAAAGTTACAATCGATTCATAAAGAAAGAAAAATATTAATGATACTTAAACTGGCCTTGGGTCAAAGGAGGTTTCCTTTAACTTCACATTTTCTTGTTCAACCTGCAGTCACTACAGATGAGTGATTGTCAGGTTCTGTCAGATTTCTGCAACTGGAGCAGGTATTTCTGTTTACTGGTTAACTTCCTCAGCTGTTTCACATTTTAAAGGTCAACCCTACTCCATGTTTCAGTAGAAAACCAGCACATTTAGGGGTCAGTACATAACCAGACTTTTGGTCCTCACACCTGTACCCAGGTGCTCATGCTGCATGATGAGATCAGATTTATCCATATTTTAGAAATTACATTTAGCTTAGTCGACAAAACAATACAAATGAAGACCGTCTTAAAAAACCCTCTTGGTTTTGCAGTAAGCAGCCTGATTTCACACTGACATCTTGGCCAAAGGTAAAATAAAAATCTTTGTGTTCTCAGAAAAGTTGTTTCAGGACCTCCAATAAACTTATGTACACATCAAAGCACACAAGACAGATTCAGGAATTGTCTTTGTTTTCCAGATTTCACATTTGTTATTACCTTAAAACATACTCAGACAACATTTGATGTATCATTGAATTTTTTTATTGTGTTTATTGGGACATCCATTTTTAGAAGTCATCGTAGCATCTGTTGGAAACACAGAACATAGTACAGTTAGGGTGTTGCTAGTTGTTACTTAATCCTGGATTGGATTTTAAAGTTAATTTTGATATTTTTTTCACAAGGAAAAAAAAGTTGATTTCCTAAAGTTTAACTATAAATGAAGGAATTTGTACATTCAGGTAATTGAAAATTAAGTAATTTCTCTAACATCCAACCCATTTTAGCCACTGAGCCATACCCAACACCCATAATCTATTCTTGAATGAATTATTGACTATTATTGACAAATTACAGACTTTTTATTGAATAAGTTATTACTCATTATTGAATCATTGACAATTTACACTCATGTTTGTGTTAACTCATGTTGCAACAACGTCAGCAACTTTTGACTATTACTATGAACTATGTTAAACTTTGGAGGTGATTTATTTTGAAAGTCAACATCTGATGTTGGTCAACATTGTTGGGCAACATCTTGGGGTCTTCTAGAGTCAACCTGAAGTGAGAGAGGTCCCTGACATGGCAGAAAGACATAGATATAATTAACAGCTTTTATTTATTTATTTTTCAGCTAATAACAACTTTTATTTATTTGTTTTTCATATTTTTCAGTTATACACAGCTTTTAAATATTTATTTTTCAAGTATTAAGAACATTTATTTCAGCTTTTATTTTGAAAAGCAACACCCAGTTGTTGTAAACGTGCACAGTGAGAGCTGCTGTGGAGGCTCACTTTACCTCAGTGCGTTACGACAACAACGAGAGAACGGTCGAAACTATCGTGACCTGCAATAAACGTACTTCAATAAAATGCATAAGTGAAAACATAACATACTTTATAAGTACAATAAATCATATTTCTTTGTCAAACATCGCAAAGAAACGTTACCTCATCAATAATCCTCGTGACTTTGAGGGTTACCCATAGCCAATCAGTGTTCGCCGCCGACAAACGCCTATTAAATACTGTTAGCCAATCAGTGTTCGCCGTCCATAAACGCCTACTCGCCAGAAACGCCCACTTTTGGTCTGCAGAGACCCCCTTCTCCCATGTTAGCGGTCCGAGCAACAGTGCGGTGCATCATGGGAGACGTAGTATTCATTCAACCTTTATTTAGACAGGACTCATTTACAAGAGAGACCTGATTTGAATTGATGACAACAGTGAACAGACAGTCATAAAAGAGGCATACATTTTATTTTATTATCAAGTCAAGTCAAGTCATCTTTATTTGTAGAGCACAATTTAAAACAGATAAACTGTTATCAAATTTACATATATATGTAAAATAAAATCTATTATCACAACTATTCTGATTTTGGTTCAGTCTTTGTTTAATAAGAAATGACATGTTGTTGATCCCGTGAGGTCAGAGTGACGTCATTTTACAGACCTGATGGTTTTACAGACCTGATGGTTTTACAGACCTGATGGTTTTACAGACCTGATGGTTTTACAGACCTGATGGTTTTAAATGATGTGAAACCTGAAAACTGTTGACAGACTGGACGACTGATTAAAACTGAACCTCACAGCAGGTCCACAGCAGAACCTGTCCTGAGGACCTGAAAGGTTCCCTGGTCTCAGAGTCCTGAACATGACCCCC